AGAAGTATATTATTCTTACAATGTGTTACAGGTCGATAGAGTACAAAGTACCACAACTTTTTATAAATCTGTAAGAAATTCGGGTATAATACTGTGAGTTTATTTTATAACCTATGAAATAAAAATATTACAGTTTAAAAAAACTGAAGTTTCCTTATTTGGTTAAACGTCAACGACAAACAATATTCAGTAGAAAAGAACGAATAGAGAAGAGAAATTTCTTTTCAATTCGTTCATCATCATGGCTCTATACAACAATGAAATAATACTTATAGAGCAGTCACGTTACGTAATAATTACACGTCACATGAATTATAAAGTAATATTGAGTAATTGAAAGAAAGAGAATAATAATAGTCAAGATAGTTATTCAAAAAATTAAATAGTTGCTAATCGCATAACGAAATGTTTTGATGAAAGGTCAGTATTATAATAGTTATGTAAGAATTGATACGAATATTGAAAACATGTAAAAACTACAAAAGTGGAAGAAACTAGAAAATCGTCTAAATATTTTGAAGGAAAGAGCCTAATCAAACTCCAGATAAAAACTCACTCCTATACCGATCGCAAAGGTAGCAAGAGCGGTTGTACAAACTTCTTTTGAATGCAAAGGTTTATGAACATGGATTTCTATGGTTTCAGAAATGTGTAAAAGACCAACTCGTAAACCATGTGGTAAATTTGATGGAATAGGGTGGATATCCTTAAAAACTTTATTCAAGTGAACTTGATAACCTGTATCCACCGAGGTAGGAGAGAATAGAACTCCGAATCACTCTTACCTATCATTTACTCAACCGAAATGGATGATGTTCTGCTATGAGATGACGGACTTTTCGAATTATGCACCTTATATAATTGGCTCTACAGGAACAGTTGGATTGGTAAATATATATGAATGTGGCGAATTCCGCCAGTCTGTCCTTGTTTAGGGTTTTCATTATCGGGCAATTGTAGAAAACTGTATTCCGATTGGCTGCACTAAATGTTTTTGATCTGCTTTCTTAACGTTTGGGTCATGATTTTCTCGGTAGCATCATTTAGAAATTGTAATTTTAAGGACAATACTTTCTTTGGAACTGTAGATACTTTTGATCTTCTTTTCATCTTTTCTTTGATAAGTTTCCTTGAACATCCATTCCTACTAACCATGTTAAGAAATTTCTCGAACCATTTACAATGGTGTCATTACAGTAAATCATTCTAACACGATGAGTCAGGATCTCTGCTAAGTATATTTTATATCTGATTGATACAGCACTAAAGAAACAAGTGTATTGTCCAACTGCAGATTCTCTATTTATCCCTCTTTTTGTTAGTTGGATATCAAAAAAAGATATGCCATTACTCTGTTCTTCCTCAAGTGTAGAATTAATAGATGGATGAATGTTATTAGATGTATTAGGTAAAACATACTTCACAAGCTTTTTTCTAACACTATGAAAGTATCATCTATATAACGACAGTAAGCTGTTAGATGACTGATTTTGTCTTCAAGTGGTCAATTTCCCAGTCCTACAAGTAAAATTTCTGCTGGGAGAGGGCCCAATGGTAACCCCATGGTTATATCATCCAACTGTTCATAATATTTATTGTCGAATAGGCAGTGGACATTCATCATGCATCTGAAAATTAACTGTTTTATTGTAGATACGAGAATAATGGCTTTTCTCCTAGCTCACTAAAAATAAAATACACAGTTTCTAGTAGTGGAATTTTAGTGAGTATAGACGATACATTTAATGACGTCAATGACATAATTTAACAATATTTTTACAAATCATTGTACATCGGTTTAGCTCCAAAATGCTTTTGCGTTCCTTAAGTTTCAACGTTTTAAATATTGTGAAGGAAGAACATGTTTAATGTTAAACATTATTCAAGTCTTCTGACATGGTCGGTTTTTTAGTAAGCTTTTTATCTACGTTAAGCGAAGTTTTTTCCAACGGTTAAAAAATCTCATAACAAGTACATTTACCTATGCAAAAGACAGTTGTATTTTAAATTCCTCTGAAATGCTAATTCGATTTCACCACATTATTTCTGCATGAAATCTAACCACTTTTCAGTACCGTTTATATGATCGCTATATCTGTCTCTCTGTTGCTTTCAAAGACGACTAGCGTGTGTTGTATCAAATACATAGACCATCTCTATGTTAATACGTTTTTATAGATCAGAGGGGGTTTTGTGAAGAATTTAGTATTTTCATAGTTGAAATCAAGGGTCGATTGAAGCTAGAAAACGATCGAAAACCCGTCCAGTGCTTCCAGGTTTACGATCGTGGTCTAGCTTCAATTGACCCATGATTTCAACTATGAAAATACGCTTTTAGACTTTTAATTAACGGTAAATACTATTTCTTGCTGAACGAAATCGTTTCCAGTTTTTTAGTTTTTCAGCCCATTTGGTCATCTTTTTTAATACATTTTCTTAGTAAGGAAAATCCGACTTTGGTAATCGTATGAAGTCAAAAACATTTTCAAATCCGTTTTAAGATGAATATTATATTCGTGTAAAAGTAATTAATATACAAGCAAAAGCACGAAACAAATCAACTTGTTAGCATTTCCTGATTAATCCAAGCAACTTAAGAACCCAATTATTATTGTTGTTTTGTATCTCTTCAACTCGACGATAAATATTCAGATATAATAGCTGAATTATAGTTCTTTATTAAACACGAATGTTTTTAACTTCTTTCAACATAATGATGAGTTAACCTTATAATTAATGAAACTTTGCTGGATCATTGAAGTAAATTGAGAGAGTTTTAGCAATTTAACAAGAGAAAATTGAAAGTGTTAATACCTATAACCGAATGAAAAATTCTTTATAAATTAATGGTGACATTTTGAGGAGTGCTTTCTCTCTCTCTAGGGTGGCTATTGAATCACAAGTGATTTTGGTTCATCATATGGAACTGTATTAAGACTACCTCGTACTCATTCTGTTTAAATGTTTGTTCTAATTGAGTATCACTTTTAATTCCAGGGATATGTCGTTTACATGAATGTTAAAGAACGTCATGGTTATTTATTACAAATATTTTATTATTGCTTTACTAAAAGACAGAAAGTATTACTCCGTAGTTTTTAACAGGAGATAACAGTTTATCAGCTTGATAAACATTGCATTTGTAGTACATTATAAGCCTTTAAAATAAAGCTGTGAAAGTGATTACAACTGGTAAATCTCTGTTAATTATCTAGTTGCTTGCATTCAGTGTCATCTCCATAGCAATTTCACGGGGTTGATTTTGGTCAGCAAACCGTAAATTAGTTCAAAACTTATTACAAAAACATGTTATGGTGCACAAATATAACTGAATGACCACATGGTGTGATTTTCTTGAAACTCTAATATGGTTTTAAATTTACTGAATATTAACTCAACTCTTTAGGAATGTTAAACCGTACGTTTCGCAATTCCTTAATGCAATATAAAACATCATGAAGAGAATAAATGTTTAAAATAATTTGAACATATCTATTTACGGAAATCAATTGAAATGATTTCAGCACAGGATGGGTAACATGGAAGTATTTGTTGAAGTTTATGTCTATCCCAAAGAAAGTGATTTTAGTTTAACGCAGTTATCCATCAAAAGTACTCATAACCCTAAAATGTAATAAAATATTTCATCACTAAGTAACGAGTTTCAACTCTCATGGGTCAAAAGCTGCTCATGCTGTCCCTAGTCACTTTCAGGTGCTCAAATAAAACACAATTTTTAGATATACCAGTTTATCGACTTATATTAGTTCGATGTAAATTATATGTTAATAACTTGAAAGTTTTAATAGAAAAAGTGTTAATAAGCATACTTAATAGTTAACAATAATCATCAGTAAAATAGTTTAGAGAAACACATCATGTTTTCATCCTCATTTGAAATGAAATATTTGGTAAATGCATTGGGATTCATTGTTTGAACCAACCTGACTTAAATTAAATTGCATATATTAAGAACGTTAAAGCGATTCTTAATTCCTTCGATTCCACGGACACAAATGATGTATTTTTTCAAATAACGAGCGCGTTGACAATATATTCAAGAATTTAGATTATCTGATTTCCAACAGGGGAATATGCGCTGCAGTATTTGTTTGAAATCAGTCTGAAATTAAAAGTTTACATTTGAAACATGTAAATACCCTTTGATACACCAGTTTGAAAGAACTCTAGAGGTTTTTTGTAAAATAAAATATCCAGTAAAAAACTGTGTCTATATTTAAAAAATGGTATACGAATAATCATGCAGGTCATATAAACCACTGACTGTATTCAAAACTTTTCGAACAAAATGAGTTCACAGCGATCTTTGAAATCATGTTTTCTGGAGGAAATCTAATGTCATGTATTCAGTTGCAGTTACCATTATTTCAGTAGGCTATTAAATAACTCATGGGTATTGCAGCTCATGAAAAGTACAAAAGCAAAACAAGACATCAATTAATAAAAAACAAATCAAATTATCATTTATAAGCTATATAGATTCAAATCTCTAGTTCTATAAAGAAGCTCCCAGAAAGACAATAAACTGAAAATAAAAGTATTTTACTCTGACAAATCTAAATTTAAACTACTTTAGGTCTATTTTATTCTTTCCATATACCTACAATAATGAAACAACATACCATTTTTAACTCCCTTTTGAAGTATAATCCCTTAAACCTCGAATTCTTGTCGTTGACCACTTGTCAGGCAAAAGAATATTCAAATAAATCCATGGTTGCTAGTAGGTATTTAATTTCTTTTGAATGCAGTTAAGCATATATTTTACAAAAATTAAGTCCGTTTTTCTCATTGGTCATTAAATATTAATGAGCTCTCTGAGTTCTGAATCAAATAAATAATGATGACTGAATAGAACGAAGGTATGTAACATCGTATTATTAAATAATAGCCATAGTCAATACTTCAGTGGTTTATCGATTTTTGTCAAACGAACAATAAAGTTCATCGAACTATTCTGAATGCTTATGCTCTGTACAAATAGAACCGATAAGTTTCATCTCTATCCTTTCAGTGAGGAACTGCAACAATTTTTCTTACGAAATTCGATCTTCAGTGATACATAACGTAACTGCGTGGACATGTAGAGAGCAGATACAATGGAATAAAAATCACGTTTAGATACGTCATCAAGGAAAGTAGCACCTGACCAGGAAATACAAAAAAGAATTTAATTTACGGAAACTAAATGTAAACACAGCTTGTTCTTTTTAACATAAGCAGTAGGTCATAATTTAGAAGTGAAAAAAGATTGGGAACTATGAATATCAACTACAGTCCTTTCTAAACACTACTTCGTTAACTGAAATAACAGAACTTGCAATACCGTTTGTCACAGTAGCTAGTAATAGGTCAGCTATATGCAAAACACAAAAGATCAGTTTCGTTAGATCACTTCTGGTTTGAATCTAGGAAATTGTTTTTCTGTTTGAACACTAAGCATTTTGCAAAGCATAAAACATTGGTCTCAAACTTACCCGAAACGATTTACTCATGATTAGATAAATGATTGGATTGACGAAGCTATTCGACATTGCTATCCAGTGGCACATACCATACACAAGTCTGGTTGTATGTTCAGGCATATTGCGAAATAATGTACTAAAATCTTGTAGAAGGAAGAATAAGTGTGATGGAAGCCAACAAATACCAAACATCGCAACAATGAATGCCAACATTTTTATGATCTATATGAAGAAAATACAAAAAAGAACATTTATTCAAAACTTCTGTACAATGGTGTTTAGAACATAAAACTCCCTTAAATATGATGCATGAATGTTTTTTACTAGGGAGTAAATATTATCATTTGTCTTCAAATGTTTCACACTTTGGTTCCTCGTACATTAAAAAAACTTTCTGACATGGTTGACTGACAGCTACGACATGATGCTTTGAACAAAACACCTGGTAAAATGCCCAATGAATATGGTGTAATCCTATTAATAATTTGAATGTCAGCTACATTAAACTGATGTTCGATTAAAGTCCATTTTCAGTGAACGTCCTTCTAAAGAAAACTGTTCCAAACGTTGACCATTTAATGTACACAATAAATTTAAACATCAAAATAACAAATGTCACTTGAATTACAACCCAGTGTAGTAAATTTAAAATGCTTACTGTAAAAATTTTAATCCCCAGGTTCACTTCTTATGACGTCAAATTATATTTTGACAAAAGATAGCTTAACAGGCAAAAACCGTTGATTTATGACAATAACATAATTAAGTAACAAAAGTCATTTCTCAGTCAATAATTATATCAACAACTACGAACTATTAAAACAAGAATTTTGGAGAAATATCTGGATGATACCGCTGCACGTTAAAAGATAATTACCACTTTATAAAACCAATTATAATACAATTCAAATTCAAATTAACTCAGAAACCTAAACTTCTTATAATTACTATGTGATTTAATGAGTGTTTAAGATGTTATCGTAAGCACTCAATATTTCATACTTTATAATATCCGAGAAGTAATGCTAACAAGATCTCACTTATTTTCATTTCATCCTGAAACCGGAAAAAATAAAGTATGGTATGAATTCAATAGGCAGTAATCAATTATTTCAATTAAATAATAGTGTTTTGTTTGAAGATACTAGTAATCAAACAAACATAACGGAAGCTAAGGATCAATAAAATAAATTGTCACGTCTCTCTATAGATTCATTCTCTATGCTATGAATGCCAGAGATATAATTTAGAATCAGTGTTATAGATTCTGAAGGTCCATTTGTTAAACGCCACCACCTATATAAATCTCATAAGAAAATAATTCAATATATTTTGACGAAATTAAGAGCTACTTTTATCAAAGTGATCCTGAAACAGGAGCTATAAGAAATATACGGTTGTATAGTATTATATAAATATTACATCCTCAGGATTTTAATCGTAAATTTTAACTAACTAATGTTTGACAGTAGTTAAATGTCTACAATAGAGTCAGTACTTCTCAAAATAGCATTATTTACAAGTGTTTGGTAAACCTAAAAATTTCTAAAATGAATTATTGAAGATGTACTACTTTATATAGTTCGAAGTCCCTTAAAATCAGAAGTGATGAAATCCAGTTCTGATGTGGAATAAAATCAGGCTTAAGTAATCAGTTTCCATAGAAAAATGAATAAAATATTAACCCATTTATTTTAAATGTAATAATGCATTATGTAGAAACAGAATACAATCGTTTACTGAACTAACCACATAGCAATTACTATTGATTTTCAATTTAATTAACTAACAGAAAACTGGCTAGTTATAGTGCTATTTCGTTTGATTAGCTCCCTGAAAATGGAAACTTTCTCTGATTAAAATGACGAAATATTTAGGGACAACAAAAGTGCACGAATAAATACATTTTAAATAGAGCCATAACAACATGGTTTGAACAATGAAATAAATTCATTTTATTTAACGCCTTATCAGCTGCATACAACCTAAAATTACTAACAAATGTTTAACATAGACTTTATGCGAAGCACTTGATTTCAGGCTGTTAGGTACTGATGAAAAGTTGTAAAATAGAATGAATCTGTTTTATTCTGCAAACCGTGGTATTCTCACTTTAATGTTTATCAAGAAATCAACTTGTACAAATTTTACACTGTGTCTGTTTTGTTTTAATTTGCTAACTTACTCATCACTTCTTTCTTAGAATTAAATGTACTCAATATTACGCCTTTGACAGTTTTCCTACTGAAAATGGGTTCTTATCCATAAATGTATTAAGGAATTTTAAACATATTTCTAATCCCCCAGTTCATTCTTTCAAATCTAGTTATCAAATGAAACTGATCTTATTGATATTGTAAATCATGAATACAGATTTAGCTAATTATACATTTTTATTGCAGTTTGGTCTATCGTGAGATTAACATTCAATATATAGTGTTCGATTTAAATAATGATTGTTCAGGACTATGACGAAAGAATAAAAGATAATCAAAATTTCAGTAAAGAGTAAGATTTGATGGATTTAAGAAAAAGGTTACTTGTTTACTAAGACTGTAAAATCTCGTTAATTAAATAGAATAAGCAGTAAAAATGTCTCTTCTTAAGCTCAATATATTCAGTATTTGTAAAACCTTTTAAATTGATTATCTGTGGTATTGAAATGAACTCTTCAGTACACCTGATTTTGCAAATAGTTCCGGATGATCTTTGAAAATATTTGGTTGAATCATTCTATTTTTAGACAATTTTCAACTTCAATCAATAAAAATATTTGTGTGAATCACATTGTACCAACTAGCGGGATGACTGTGAATATATTTCCGTGTCCAAAATTAATATCTGATAAGAAATATTATATAAATGTTGAGAAACATATTTGATACAAAGAGCTAATTCACTGGGAAAATAATTTTCAATGTTAGATTAATACACATTTAAGGAGGTTCTTGGTCTTGCTATATGGTTGCATTTAAAGATGTTAGAGATTGAAAAACATACATTTTGAACTTTCTTGGATTTCTTTATTGGATTCTCTTCTAGTTACAAGTTTACATGTATCCTTGGGTAACTTAAGTGAGACGATAAACGTCGACAAGAACTAATATCACACTTTTCAACCATATCTATACCTTTTGGTTATACTGTAATTATAATTTCAACTTGGTTCAATCGAATTTATTTTTATGATGTGTTCGTTATATTTTTGGTTGATTTTCGAATTGTTTGACCCATTTATGGTGAGGTCTTTGTACTTAATACATAAATAGTATACACCAAGATTAATAAATTAATCAGTAGTTGGTAGTGGATACAAAGAACTTAAACAAACTGAGAAATTTTTCACATTGTATGTAGATAGGTAAATTTGAGGGACAATAATAAGAAGTAGTGTTTCATGTTAAATTTCATAATATGCATGATTAAATAAACAATGTAGATTGCATCAAATGTAGTGCAACCGACGTGTATATTCTTTGGGTACTATCCAAGTGTCTAGTAGTTTACTCCCAAAGATTTCTGGAATATAAAAGACGGTCCTGATAAGAATTTGTTAATACATTAGTTATTAGAAAAAACCGAACATGAGTCCGCCTAGTGAATTTTTGATGACATATAATATGAACATCGAATCATACAGAAAAATAGTGCTCTATGAGTAATAATGAAGTCTGAATTATAAATACACAAAATTAATGTTACTTTCTATCCGATTGCTCACGTTTGTAAACCTGACTTATAATGAAAGCTTGCGGTTTATTTCTTTGATTTATATCCAAAACTATCTGTTGAAAATATAAATATTTCTTTTATCATATTTAGGACACTATTTTGACTTAGTCAGTTACGCTTCACTTAACGATTTATGTTAACTTCGATGTTTTATTTCAGAGTTATGAGGAATTCACCGTATTCTCTAATGAAGTCAGTTTGTTATTACTTTATCAACCCTCTTATCTGAGCTTCTATCTTGCTCTAGATATACGGATATCTCAGTTCACTGTATCCAGTTATATAATAATACTCCCACCGATATTTACTTGGGTGTCTGATAACAAATCATGTGACTGTCAATTGAAATACCTAACTGTTGATAAATACTAAATCTATACTTTGGATCTTTTAGAATATATTTAAGCCTTCTGTTTCAAACTATAAAACTAAGGAACTTCAAGTTTTTAATTGAAGTACACACATGAATTCTAATTTGTACATCAATGATGGTTATTAAGATAATTTGATCATCTTAACCTTCACATAGACTTTAATGAAAGTAAGTGGTAACACAAGTCAAATCTGAAAGCAATCAAAAATCTTGAAAATATACTTTTTCGATAATGAGAATTTACGCATTTTGATTATTAACATTTATGCTCAAGGGATTTATCGTAATTTATTGAATCTATCAACACCTTCCTGGAGTAAAATAAAATTCTTAAAGAATGACTACCAAATGTCAGGATTAAACTAATTAGTCTATCCAAATTATATTTTGCCAATTTGCTGACTGATATAAACTTTTTCATTTACAAGTAATAATACCGGATATTGATAATAAAATGCTTACCAATAGACAAGTAAGCCCAAAATACCAGTTACTTCGATGGAGTAGTAACACATGTTTTTAGGTGAATATTTCCACCAAATAAATAGCAGAAAATGAGACTGGCCGTATTTCAAACTTTGTGTTTTGAAATGGCTCCTCTTTTTCCTAAACCAATAACGTCATCGAATTTCAACAAACCGATAATAAAATACACCATACAAGTATATTATTATGTTAAAATTAATTTTCAACAAATAAAATTGAACTTAATTTTGGCGTTTTGTCTAAAGTCTATTTACTGTTTCAATAAATAGATAAATCAGTGCAAAGCAAGTAAATTATCAACATTTCATTTCAGATTACTGTCCATCAAACTGTTTTTTTGGTTAATTGGGTCAAATACCTGTTCAAAAAAACAGTTTAAAATATGTGAATGCTTCATTATTAACGTTTTTTTCGTGAAATATTATTTTAAATGTCAGCTAAACAACAGGAAAATATAAATCAATAAATTGAATTGTCACAGGATGGTCTCATTGCATCCCTCTGTTAACTGTTTTTTTCTGTAACTTACCTACTGTAGCTGTATTTAATCGATTATCAACAAACAAAATGTATAAAATGTCAATAGTATGATGGTTAGAACTTAAGAAAACGACTAAGAATATCAATAAAATCGACATTTACTGAGATTTCTGTTTCAAAGAAATGCTATAGTATTTCAACACTTCCTTTCTATGACTTTCATTATAATAATGGTATAGTTAACGTTTTATAATCATATGTGATGTAACACTGTCTAATGCAATTAAACAAGGGATGACCGATTTAAAAAATGAAAACTTATGATCAACAGAAAATCATTGTCTACGAGCTCTATATGACTAAATGTGGTATGGAGATTATAGCTTGAAACAAAGAAGAGTTTTTAAAAGCATTCTAACACAATGGAAAAAGGACAACGAATTCACGTATACAGATATACCACATAAAATGTATCCGGATCCTAGTAATATATTCATTTTAAAACAGAATTATAAGTAAATTTCTTCAAGAAAAAGCTCATTTTTATCTTGTATAAATAAAATTTCAATTTTATAGCCTTATTATGACAAGTGCTACCTTGATCTTTTTATTCTTGTAACTAGTGTTCATGTATGGTCCAAATACTTGATTTGCTGATTACCATCAACTTATTTTTAAGTTTCTTGTCTACTTAATGTCGACTAATCAAAATATAAAAACATGGCTATCTGTATAAAAATACTTTGGTTGCCCACAAAAAATAATCAAAATGTAAAATAACGAAAATTAACTTACTCGTTTCTTTTCTTTAATCCGCATATCTTCTACACCTTTAATTGACTCCCCAGGTGTTTTGCGGTTCCATAACCTAAAACTAATATATCCATAGGTTGATGTTTGTATTCCCAGTGGGATGATGTAAATTACTAAGAAAAGTACAACTGTATAAATTGAACGCTTATAGTCGTCTCCATCCCATGATTCTTGACATAATTTACGACCAGCTGAATAGCCTTCTTTTTGCTCTAATGGATTTGTATTTTGTCCTTGTCTTTGTGTTCTGGTTGCAAACAGTTGTACTGTACTACCGCTAAATGAAATAGCCCAAATACTTATTATTATGCAAATAGTCAATGATTTTTGATGTCTACTGGGCCAATGATCAAATCTAAATGGACTTATTATACCAAATAATCGGTTTAGACTAATAACAGTATTGGTTAATGACGAGGCTGTAACCATAACCAGTTGTACATAAACAACAATTGGACACATTAAATCAGGAAATGGCCAGTGATGTAAATAAATTTGTGTAAACGTAAACGGAATACAAAAAAGGCCCATGAATAAATCAGATATTCCTAAACTGGCTAAATAATAATTAAATGCTCCATTCATATAAAATGTTTGCTTTTGGCATGTGTTTCTCATAATATGGTGTAAGTGTTTCGGTGCTTTTTCTATTGAATTATCCAGATTCTTTTTCAATAAATTATTGTTATCATAATCACTCGCTGAACTGCTATAATTTCCATCAACTTGACGATTCTTTAATGACTGTAGATAATTTTCTGAATGTAGATCTACCTGCTTTTCAGTACTGGTAAATGGTTTCATTGTAGTATGATATTTTATGCCAAACTTTTTACGTTTTCGCAAAAATATACATATTGCTATTGTATTGCCAATGAGAGAAGATAACATTGTGATAATATACACCGAAAATACTAATATACTAAGGAAAATTGATGTTTCGTTTTTACGAATGATAATATAATTTTCATACATATCATTACTCATTAAATTTTCCGTAACATTATCAATATGATTAATAGAACTTGTGCTCCAGCTGTTAAGTTGACCACTTTCATAAACTGAACTGAAATTATTCATATTTTCTTCAAAAGAAACCGTAATATGTGAAATTTACTGAAACGCCCAAGCTGTAAACTAACCTGTTAAACATTCATTTCTCAAGTGGTATAAATAAATAACCCAGTGAATTATTTTAACTGGTTAGTTTCTGTGTTATTCACGATTGGCTAATCTTCATTATCTATAAAGACAACAAAACTTTTACCAAACAGTATACTTTTAATAAAATATAAAGTGCATGTCTGTAATAATAGTAATAAGGAAAGCTGTAGAAACCATGAAATGACATTTCCATCAATCAATGACAATGTCATATAAATTCTTTAGCCAGTAGTCTACTGTTCACTCCAGTAACTGGGTGATGAAGCAAAAAACCAAAAGACCAATATGAAAGCTTTCAAAATGTTAAATTAGTAATCATCTGCAAAAAAGTAGGGACAAATTCTCTTCTCAACTTTACACAAGGTTTAAGAAAACAGAGACTTTATTGGTAAGATTATAAAATACTTAAATCTACCTCTCATTATGATGTGTAACTAACAAATTTTGTATTTCAACTACCAAAATACTGTGATCAGAGTGTTAAATGCCACGACGATAAGCCGAAACCATCTGTTCAAAGCTGCGCTTTTAAGTGTTCTGTCCTCTTAATTTACTTATCGTCTTCGTACACATAAAAGTGTCTGAAAACAAAAGATAGAAATAATCCTGTTAATAATCGTTCTGAAATTAATTACTTTGGTTTGAAATCTAAGGAAAAATTTCTCAACCTCTGAACCAACTAAGAACACAAGACTTTTTTGAAAGAAAGACTTCGTATTCAATAGAAACTGTCCATTTCTTAATAAAATAGTTTACAAAAGGAAATTTTCTAGAACTAAATCCTATAAATTAAACCAAAATCAGGTAGTTTTCATCCTAAGTTAAAGATGAAATGTGGGTCTATCATTATCAAATCGAACTGAAAACATTTTCATATCAACAATTACTATACAGGAACAAGATTTATCCATTATTAGGCAATAGGAAATGTGAATATGGAAAACTTCTATCAAATTCTAGTATTCATTTTTTCACTTATTATTCTGGAACCTGCTAAATGATGAATAAAAGTGATATTCAATCACTTCATTTTTAATTTTACGCTATCATGACTTAATTCGCGTTGATGAATAACGGAGTTAAATAAGTCAAATACGAGAATGGATTGTGAATACATATATTTTGTACACTCATTGATCTGGACAGGAAATCAGAAGGACGAAGCGAATAGAAGACAGAGAAGCGAAAATGACACGCATTGGAGACGGCGGGTAAGCCAACTCGCTTTAACCAAAAGTTAATCGATATTTATAGTCAAATAAGAATAAGTTACAGACATGTGATAAATAGGACATGAAGTGTACACACAAATACGCTCATATAAAAAACAGTCAGGGTTGATAAGTGAATAATTAACAAGGTCAAAACGTGTCTCATGATGGATAGGTAAATTGACTTGTCCAGAAGCTAGAATAAGGGTATATGGGCTTAACATATCAACCGACACTACAGTGGTTCTGTGGTAATATATAGGAATTTTGAAACCGGGATACTAATCTTGTGTCACTAGAAGAAAATAATTAGAGGATCATAGATAACTTAAAAGTACTAGAAGGCTTGACCGTTGTGATCTTGACTTTTCAAGAAGTACCCAAATAATACTCTGTACGGAATCTATTTCTAGAACACTACATAGATATAGCCTATCTACCGATTTACAACTTAGTTTTCTGTAAGCTCAAATCATCAGTCAATTTGTATCATAGATTGTTTGTCTGATACCATCAGCGTCTGACTCCGACACTTCCGATTAAGCTTAATTGATACACCCTACATGGCTAAAAGTGCATTTTTATCTAAATGCCTGTGTGACACATGATATCATATTATCTTGTTTTCTCTTGAAGAAAGTCCATCAAACTGCTCTTGATTATGCAAACAGGGAAATAGAACCTGATAAATAAAACAGTAAGAAAGAAACAAACAACTATAATTTTGACTGCCTTTTTTTAATATTGGAAATAGTATTATTGTGAAAGTATTCAATCATTTTCTCTAAGATTGATCATCATCAAGTTAAACAGTAGCTTTTGAAATCAATTTTCCTTTAAATGCATATTTAATGCCAAATAAAGGTTAGTTCTTCAGTTGATGTGATATAAAACAGTGAGCAAATAACTAATTTGTCAAAATCTGTACTTTCAAGTTGCAGATCTTAAAAACTGTATCTAATCAGTCTCTATCAGGATATTAACACCCTACGCGGATTGTTTCGATTGCTCATTAAGTTAGAAACCTTAGCAAAACTGGATCAAATCGACTTTACGTTTTATTTAGTATGTCAGTTGAATTAACTTACAGTGTTAATGTTGATGCCCGTTGAACAATTTAATAAACTGAGCTTCATAGATAACACATTGGCGTTTGAAAATATAAGTACTGGATCAGAATCTCGTAGTGAACATCAACGTTTAGTTGCAGGTACATCCAGTTCAGGACTCGAAGAAAACAAGGACTCATCCAAGGTTTCAAAACTAGCCACTATCCAACTTGAATAGAACAAATGATTGCTACACTTGTAATTGTTTATGACATCAAAATATTCTGTTATAAACCCAAATATTACAAACAATAGAATAGATAATTAAGCTACAAATAATATCTCAAGTTAATTAAAACATGAAATATATGACTAAATCACATAGAAAAATATTCGAAGCCAGTAAAATTGGGTTATAATTTAGTTGTCACTAAATATTAAGAAATAACGTCTCAACTCAAACTGAACAGTTGACCTTAAACTGATATAAAACACTATAGTTTTCATTTTATATAATTTCGCAAGATGAGTATGATTAATTTTTTTATCCAAGTCTGTGTGAAGCACATTAAGACCAACTGCGAAGATAGCCAATGTGGCAGTGGATTTCGTAGTAGTGTGCCCCAGAATTCATAGAGAAATAACCGAAATCCCCAAGTAAAAAACAGTGACCATCAACTAAATCACACTTCACGGCTAAGCTCTCGAAGAGGTGGAAGCCTTCATGTACATATTGAGCAACATCGATGAATATTGAGGATCTGATGCAAATGCAAATGCACCGGTGGGTGGAGCAAGAACATCATTCCTACAATTTAGGAATGTCGGGAGCTCAAAACAACTGTCCGCAGAACGAAAGTCAGAGTTTTTAAAACTAACGTCAAAATAACTCTATTGTACGTGGCTGGAACTTCCAGAACTACTACAGTCATCAGCAAAAATACGCGTATTCATAAATAACTGTCTACATAACATAATCCCGGTTCGCTGTTCACAGACAATCACTAATATGCTACATTGGCACAGAACAGACCAGATTCCAGTTGAGGAGGAAATCGGGAAAAGACTCTAAATGTGGGTAGGATACAATTCATAATGGAATCCTTACGTGGACTTCTAAAGGCAAAAGGACAAGTAGTAGATCAAATGACACGTCGAGTCCACGTTTGGAGGCAGACATCAAGACAATGAATAGCACTTGACAACAAGTAGAAAGGAGTGCCCATGACAATTTTGCAAAGATCACTGGCAGGTGGTCTATTCTCCAAAAAGAGTGGTAGACCTAACAAAATCAGAAAGTGTTGTACTAGCTAATAGCATATTCTTGATAATCGCAACTTTTTATTATGTTCCAAATTTTATGTATATCTGTCTGTAATTTGGTGAGGATACGATAAATTCGTATTGACAGAGGTTAGCTTTTATCTAGGATCAGAAAAACCAAAATTCATAAAAAGTGAGCAGTTTTGTTATCTTCATGTGGTTTGAAACATCTATGTGGTTGTAATTAATAAAAAGACCCCCAGGTTTTACTGTTTCTGTATAGTTGTCAAATGTTGGCACATGACTGACAAAATGAGGAAACAGATACTTCAAATTTCCAGTTGACAAATCGAAATTATACCTGTGATTTCAAACTTAAAAGAATGTTTTAAAGCTAAATATTGAGCAACAGTTTATCAAGTTCTGTGTTGCTGATCAATCTCTTATTAGTTTCACTAAGTCATCACCTAAAACGGCACTCTAATCAAAAACACAACCCTATGAACGGTGATAACGTTGTAAACAAATTGTTATTATTATTATTATTATTATTATTATTATCACTGATAATATGAGTTCTGAAGAGCATACTCTTCTGAAGTCATGTTAATATGAAAGCAAATATTTAAGACCTCATGTTTTCATACTCCATTGTGTAGTAAATGGTAAATATGTAAAGTTTGAACATGTTATTTATAACCAAATTCATTATATATATATATATATATAAATTAGCGAGATTTAACGTAATCACATGGGACCAAATCATTCCAGAAATCAGAAGAGGGTTTTGTGGAGATATTAGTAATTTTAGTAATCTCTACAAAACCTTCTTCTGATAATGATTATATACTCACTAGTGACTGGCTCCAAGAGGTATTTCCTGGAGTTCTAGTGAGAAGCAGTAACCAGTGGAGTTCAACCAGGTCTGTTGGGAGATATCAACTCACTGAAGAAATTGATGAATGGTCTCTCAATTTCGTGGATTGGTTGAAGTTAGACATTAACACCGTCGGATACCGGCTCAGTGGTCTATCGGTTAAGTGCTCTGGCGCAAGACTGGTAGGTCCTGGGTTCAAATCTGGCGAGTGCGGGATCGTGGATGCGCGATGCTGAGGAGTCCCATAATAGAACGAAACTACCGTCTAGTGCTCCCAGGTTTTCCATGGTGGTCTAGCTTCAATTGACTCATTCCAGAAATGTATAATTTCTAGTAAATTTAGGTGATTTTTATGTCTCTTATGGTCACTAATAAAAGTCAGTCTTGGGGTAAAATAGAAAACAGTTTACTAAAAAAAAAATTAATGGATAATAAAATACAAAGGGGTTTTACTGTATTAAATAATTAATCAATTAGAAATGAGAAACTGTATCAGGTTACGTAAACACTCAGTAAATCTATTTATGAATGGAGAAGTCTTTCGGAAAATGATAAGCATTTTATTTTTAAAGTTAGTTAAATTAACTTACAAACTATTTTCAAAAAGTTTTGAAAAATGAACACATTTCTTTAATAATAAATACTTGACTACGAAATAATTACCTAATAGTTCAACCTCATCAGTAGTTAGTCCTTAAAATACACAAACATTTTCTGAATAAATCAACCTCATATAAATGAAGTGTAAATAATTGACAACAAAATAAATGGGCCGTGTTTTCAAAAGATAAACTCATGTTCCAACTACTGACGTACAAAACATATTTCAATACAAAGAGGTGATAAGTAAATGCCACATCAGTGTGATAAATGTCAAAAAAAAAAAACCAACTATTCAGAAAGCATGAATGACTAATGAAAGAAACTTATATTGAAAGGAAAAAGTACGATTAGAAAACAACTTCAAATATAAAGGAAGACAAAAGTGTAAAAAAACAAGACAAATGAAGAACAATCATCAGTGTTCCAAACAAATTTCATTTGAATATAGGAACGAATTTTCATGTACAAATTTCTTAATTTTCGACTATTTCGCATTCACATACAAGCATTTTAAAACTCAATGCATTAATAGACCAAAATTAA